TTCCTGCTCTTCCTCCCTGCTCTGTTCCTAGTTGCTCTCATTATATCAAAGAAGACATTTGGTATTTGTTTTTTAGGGATTGACTAGCTTCACTAAGCATAATCTGCTCTAGTGCCATCCATTTCCCTGCAAATTCTATGATTTTGTCATTTTTATTGCTGCATAGTACTCCATTGTGTATAGATGCCACATAGTACCTTCCTCTCCTTTTAGGACAATTTCGGGATTGGTAAGAATCGGGGGCTTCTACTATTAGCTTCCACTAGGACTAGCACAGTTGCCCCCTTGCCCCCTTATATTCTTTCCCTGCATTCCTGGGCTATGACAGATCGACTTCAAAGCTTTCCTTTTCTCACCACTCTCTCCACTTCTCTGTCGTCTGTTTCTTCYGCCTCCCATTCAAAAATTTGACTTGCCAGTCAATTTTGCAGCTTCTCTAGAGTGGTGCCAAGATAAGCATTGTTTCCATCCTCCTCCCCTAAGCACATTTGCYGGATCTCCTCCAAAAACTGGTAGTTTCGTCTGTAAACCCTTTAGAGCTGAGAAGACTATTAGAGATGCTTATTTCAACACCTTTATTCTGTAGATGATTGATTTTCAGAAAATTTATATGGTTCATGTATCCAGGGTTGCACAGCTAATTAGTTGATGTTGGGAATGGAAAGCAAGATCTCATCAGCAAATATTAGACACCAAAAAGAATGTTTTAAAATGTTGAAGTTCATTGGGCTGGGACTGGGGCTCAGAGGGAGAGCACTTGCCTAGCATGTGTGAGGCACTGGGTTCCATCCTCAGCACCACATAAAGTAAAATAAAGACATTGTGTCCACCTATAACTAAAAAATGAATATTTTATAAAAAATGTTGAAGTTCAAATCAGAAAACGTGTATGGAGCACCTGGTAGAACCAAGTACTGTTTCATGTGAAAAGATTAGTAAAGAGTTGTCCCCATCCTTGAGTTTTCAACTTAGTGGGGGCTTAAAAGGGAATTTTCAAGAGAATGGCAAGTGCTGAAGATATATACAGAGTGCTAAGAGCCTAGGGAAATTGCATTTAGCCTCYCTTTGGGTTGAAGAAGGAAGGAAATCATTCTTCTCTCAGGAAACAGTTCACTTATGCACTCATCTTTTAAGTACCCACAGACTTCTTGCATTGTAAGAATGCAAGAAGAATCCATGTCCATTTGAGTCACCAAACTAATTGTTCTGGTTTCCTTCTTTCCTTTTGCTAAAATGTACTAACTTTATTCCTGGATTTTTTTTTTCCTGACTGTGTATTATTCTTCAACTCCCCCTCTCATGAAACTTTTGGATTTAGTGCTGCTTTTTATTTAATGGTCAGGATGAAAGGAGTCAATAAAACTGGATAGGTTTCCCTTAATTCATGAGCTGCCTTTTTCTCCCCTCTGGTGTGGACATGATTACTTGCCTTGCCTATTGGAAGGATTGTTATAAAGATCAACCTTTGAAAATATCTTTAAAACTATAAGCAGTTGGTTATCTGGAAATCTGTGATTTGCTAAACCTGCTTCACTATGATCCTAATGCATTTTTCTCTTTTAATTCCAATTTTAAAACTCATTGAACCCTCTCAAAATTTCTAAGAGGCAATAAATCCTAACATGGAAAAAAATTGTATGTTTTCTTGTCTCACGTGATTACATATCCAGGACAGCTATTTATTTTTGGAAGCCAATCCATAATCTACACACTTTACTTGTTATTTTTAAAAACCTGTATTAAGTTGCTAATGCTTAATCTAAACAAAAACTTAGAAATACCCCTTTAAGTTTATTAAAACTAAAGCTGTGGTCTTTCACTAAGAAACAAAGGTGTTATAGACAACAATGCTAAGAAACTTGGCTATAACATAAGTTACATTTTTCATTAAATTCAAACCGAGAGCCAYTTATATAAACATGTTTTTAAAAATATGAACCTTAAGTAAGAGGTTAAAGTTTTAACATGAAAGTTTATTTTCATTGGTAGCCTTATCTTTTATCCACTTGGCAATATTCAGATATAGGAAGGAAGAGAAACAGTGACTAAAATTCGTTGSAATGGAGGATAGAAGTGATAATGTTTCTGTATTTCATTTGCTCTTTATCAGGATCATGTAAAGTTAATGGTGGTATCCCTATTTTATAAATGAGTTTGAGGTTCAGAAAGTTCAATAACTTGTACAGTGACAAAGCTTATAAGTGAAGTGCTGAAGCTTAAATACATACCCAGATTTCTGTATCTTTGCACATTGTACTCTATTAGGTTTAGCTGCTTCTAAGAGCACTGTTTGTACGCTTCATTGAAAATGATTATTTTGTGCTCTTTTACTAAATTGATATAGTACTTCTAATTTTCTAATTTCTTTCCTTTCAGGTTTTTCAATATCAAAATTCTAGAATACACTGGATACTGCTCTAAACCCAAGAAGAAATCATGAAGAAATGCTTTAATTATTGAACATAGTTGAAATCATGGCTACATCAGCAAATCTGGATATTGGTGCCAAATTGATAGTAGAAGAGTGTCCCAGCAGTTATAGTCTCTCTGGCATGCCAGACATTAAAATAGAACACCCACTGGATCCAAATTCAGAAGAAGGATCAGCTCAGGGTGTTGCCATGGGAATGAAATTCATATTGCCTAATCGATTTGATATGAACGTGTGTTCTCGATTTGTGAAGTCCTTAAATGAAGAAGATAGTAAAAACATTCAAGATCAGGTTAACTCTGACCTGGAGGTGGCATCCGTCCTATTTAAAGGTTGAAAGTTATGGTATAAATATCTGCATTTGTTTTTGTTTATTTGAGTTTTGTGTATTTCCACCATAGGAAATACAAAAATACAAATATTTAGGAAGTTTGGAAATCATATTTTAATAGAATTTTCTGACCTCACAGAAACCAAATTTAAATAATTTCATGCTATGTAATGTCTATGWTAAAGGCAGTACATGTTGATTTTTAAAAATTTTTTTACCTAATCTTCATTTACAAATTCTCTAGTGAAGCTTTTTATTATACCTTTTTAAATCATAGAAAAAAATTCCTTGTTTCTTTTCTAAATGAATCAGTTAAATATTCCTTGTTCCCTGAATATTTAATTTGCACTAGCTTCCAATGCTTTAATTCAATAAAGTCTGTCAACATGCTTTAGATTTACCTTTATAATGATCTATTGAATAATAAAACTAATCTCTTAAAATAAGAGATTAATACTTATTTTTCTGGAATTTTCACTATGGTAATATTGACTTTATGACAAAAATTTTAATATCACATGAGAGATAGTTGTGAGAAGTTCATATGCCTCATGCATTTTTTAATCGTATTGTTTTAATGTACATTTATTTCACTTAGCTGAATGCAATATCCATACATCTCCTTCTCCTGGAATTCAAGTAAGGCATGTCTACACTCCCTCTACAACAAAGCATTTCTCACCCATAAAACAGTCAACTACTTTAACCAACAAACACAGAGGAAACGAGGTCTCTACCACACCTCTTTTAGCAAATTGTAAGTACTTGTAGCTAATGTACTAARATATTCTAGTATAGGAATTTTAAGAATTTGGCTTTCATATGCATTTATTTTCATTAAATGCATATTCTCTTGTTGAAAGGTTAAGCAATATCCTAATAGTTTTAGTAATTTAAAACTTTTTCATATACTATTACATATTTAAATATTTAATATTATGTTTCTGTGTTGAGAACAAATACAGATTGAAATATTAAAATCTTTAATTTTTACTACAGAAATAATGAGTTATTTTAAACATTTTGCAAATTAATTTTGCATATTAATTGCCAATATTTTTGTGCTCTTGGAGTACAATGCTTGTTTTACTTATAAAATATTGCTCAACAAATGATTTTGCAAAAAAGCCAAGTGATTTATAATATAAAGTATAAATGTTATATTTGAATATAAGAATATGAATGTGAAACCTACGTTTTTTTAAAACTTTGAATTCACAATTTTTAAAATTGTAGAATCATTGTAGAGGAAAATAAGGTTTTTCTATTCAGACCAGAAAGTATTCTATACAGTATACAGTATGGATGTGTGAATGAAAGAAAATCGGCAATTTAATGCTAGTAACTATATTTGAGA